GGGAATTCCACATGGAATACATTGGGATACACCGGGAATTCCACATGGATATACTAGGATACAGCAGGAAACACCAGGAATTCCACACAGATCCACCAGGATACAGAAGGAAACACAGGGAATTCCACATGGGAAACATCAGGAATTCCATATGGAATACACCAGGATACACAGGAAAACACAGGGAATTCCACATGGGATAGTCTGGGATACACAGGGAATTCCACAGCTTCTCCAGGAAGCTGGGATCATCTCCCAGTTCCCTCCCAATCCAAACCATTCCAGGATTCCATAAATCCCCTTTGAAACTTCCCAGAATTCCACCTCCTCCCGTTATCCCATCATTGAATTCTCCACATTTCCCAGCAAAAAAATTCCCTCTTTCCCCTTTCCCGCTGTCCCAGTCCGTGAGCAAACTCTCTATCCCGAATTCCCGGCGCCTTTGGATCCCACCTGGAATAGCAGGACAGGCCGGTGCTGAGCACGGAGTTGAACACGGCCACGGGAATGTAGAAATCATGGAATGTGCTCCCGACCCATTCCGGCGGGAAGACGTAGGCGGAATATGCCAGAGCCGAGCCTGGAAGCACAGCAGGAATCCCGGAATTCCCGTGGAATTCTCCTGGAATTCCTCATCCTCCTGGGCTCAGCTGTGAGCTGCAGGTTGGAATATCGGGAAAGGCTGGGAATCTCTGGAACAGGGAGAATTCCACAGGGACTAGAGGGGTGTGGAGCCGTGGGAAAATCCTGGAATTGCAGCTTAATCCCAAAGCTCCCCTTGGGGTGTGGCATCCCATAAATCCGGGCTATGCCAGCTGCTCCTGAATCCCCAGATTCCTGAAATCCCATAAAGCTGGGCTAAATTCCTGAACTCCCGAAATCTGGTCTATCCCAGCTCATCCTGTGCTCTCAATTTCCCAAAATCCCATAAAGCCGAGCTAAATTCCCAGAATCCTATAAACCCGGGCTTCTCCTGTTCCCAGAATTCTCAAAACCCCATAAATTCCGGCTAAATGCCCAAAATCCCATAAACCCGGGCTCCACCCAATCCCAGAATTCCCGAAATCCCATAAAGCCAGGCTCAATCCCCGCAGCCCCACAAAGCCAGACTCAATCCCCATAAAGTCAGGCTGAGTCCCCGCAGCCCCACAAAGCCGGGCTCAATTCCCTCAGCCCCGTTAAACCGTGCTGAATTCCCGCAATCCCACAAAGCCGGGCTCAATCCCGCAGCCCCACTAATCCGGGCTCAATCCTTGCAGCCCCTAAACCCGGGCTCCACTCAATCCCCGAAATCCCATAAAGCCAGGCTCAATCACCGCAGCCCCACAAAGCCGAGTTCAATCCCCTCAACCTCTAAAGCCGTGCTGAATCCCCTCAACCCCACAAAGCCGGGCTCAATCCCCGCAGCCCCTAAACCCGGGCTCCACCCAATCCCAGAATTCCCGAAATCCCCTAAAGCCGTGCTGAATTCCCGCAATCCCACAAAGCCAGGCTCAATCCCCGTAAAACCGGGCTGAAGTCCCGCAATCCCACAAAGCCGGGCTCAATCCCCTCAGCCCCTAAAGCCGGGCTCAGTCCCCGCTAAGCCGGGCTCACCCAGGCTGTAGATGCTGAGCGCGGCGTAGTCGCAGCAGTAGGCGCGGTGCCGGCCGTGCCCGCCCAGGGCCGCCAAGGTGTGCGCGCAGCTCGAGGCCAGCGGGTACAGGGCGCACGTGCCCAGGTAAGCCAGGTACGGCCCCGCCCCCGGATCATCCCCAAAATCCCGGAGCCGCGCCAGGAGCAGCCAGAGAAAATACCTGAGGGAATGAGCGGGGTGGGGGGGAGTCACGGCCTGGGCACTCACCAGGTGTGCCCAGGTGTGCCCAGGTGTGTCCAGGCAGTGACAGCACCCACCGGGTGTGCCCAGGTGTGTCCAGGAGCTGAGGCCACCCCCCGGTGTGTTCAGATGTGCCCAGGTGCTGAGGGCACTCCCAGGTGGGCCCAGATGTTAAGGGGCATCTCCAGGTGTGCCCAGGTGTTCCCAGATGTTAAGAAGCACCTACCTGGTGTGTCCAGGTGCTGAGGGCACACCCAGGTGTGCCCAGATGTGCCCTGGTGTGCCCAGGTGTGTCGAGCACCCATCAGGTGCATCCAGGTGTGCCCAGATATTAAGGGGCACCCCCTCAGGTGCTGAGGGCACCCCCGGCCATGCCCAGGTGTGCCCAGATGTTACGGGGTACCCCCAGGTGTGCCCAGGTGTGCCCGGGGCACTCACCCGGCGGGCACCAGGTGTGTCCAGATGTTGAGGGTCTCGTTGTTCATCCCGAAGAGGCTGAGCAGGCACTCGGAGGCCGAACTCCGGGGCGGGCGGTACCCGGAGAGAATTCCCGGCTCCCGGTAGCTCTGGGGGGAATGGGAATATGGGAATGGGAATATGGGAATATGGGAATATGGGAATATGGGAATATGGGAATATGGGAATATGGGAATATGGGAATGGGAATGGGATTGGGATGAGGATGGGGACAGGGATTGGGAAAATGGGAATATGAGAATGGGAATGGGAATACGGGACTATGGGAATGGGACTATGGGAATGGGAATATGGGAATGGAAACAGGAATGGGAACAGGAACAGGAATGGGAATGGAGATGGAGGTGGGAATGGATGGGGAGCATCCCCAAAATTCCAGAGTCGGGACACAGCTGTGAGCCCCCCCCCCGCGCTGTTCCCATCTGTCCCATCCCAAATCCCGCTGATCCTTGGGATCAGGGAGAGAATTCCCGCTGACCTCGGGCACTTGGTGGGCGCGGAGCAGCCGGGGCTTGGGGCTCAGCATGGTCGGCTCCGGATCCCGGGGGTTTTCCAGCTCAGCTTCCCATGGGATTCACCTCAAAGCCCTCCTGGCCACATCCCACGGGAATGGCGCTGCTCCCGCGCCGATCCTGGAGGGGATGAGAATTCCTGGGATGTGCAGTTGGATCCCGGAGGGTTCCCGTGGGATGGGGAGCATCCATCCCCCGAGGGCTGCTGGGATCCCAAAGGAGCGGCGGGAGATGGATGATCCCGCTTCCCAGAGGGACGGGAATTCCAACAGATCCAGAGGGATGTGGGAACAGCTGGAGATCCCCTCGGGGGATGCAGGAACGCCCCTCGGGAGGTGGGAAGGGCGCTGGATCCCGGCTGGATCCCCTTTCCTGCTCCCATGGAATATCCCGGCTCCGGCTCTTACCCGATCCTGGCGTCGGCAGCGCCACCTCGGCTCTGGGAATAAAGGGAAAAATCCATGATCCCTCCTTCCCTCCTTCCAGGGACCACCCAGAGCAGGAAAAGCGGGAAGGGAGCTCCTGCTCCAGGCACTGGCTCAGCTTGATCCCGCCAGGATCCAGAGGAATCCAAGGATTCCCAGGATTGTGAGAGATCCCGGAGCCTCCGCAGCATCCTGGGCTGCCATTCCAGCTGCTCCAGCCATCCCGACTTCCCACTGGGAATCCAGCCTTTGGATGTGCCACTGAGCCATTCCCAAAGAACCCCCTGGAATTCCCCTTGGATTCCCTCCCATCCCAGGCTCTACCTCTGCCCAGGGCCCGGCAGCTCCAGGAAAAACTCCAGAACACCGGGAATGGCCGGAGAGGGAGGGAAAAATTAACGAGGCAGGAGAGCAATGAAGCAACACAACCCAGCTGGAAACGCCTCTGGTTAAAGATTAGACGGGATTTGGGAGCTTCCCGGGCTCTGGAACCACCGAGGTGCTGCCAGAGTCTGCAGCCCTCAGAGCCCACGGAATTCCGGTGGTTTTCCATGGTGAAAACGGGACCTGAATCGAGAGAATCTCCTGGGAGTGCTCAGAGCCTCCTCCAAAGCCTAAAGGGGCTCCAGGAGAGCTGGAGAGGGATTTGGGATAAGGGATGGAGGGACAGGACACAGGGAATGGCTTCCACTGCCAGAGGGCAGGGATGGATGGGATTTTGGGAAGGAATTCCTGGCTGGGATGGAATTCCCAGAGCAGCTGTGGCTGCTCCTGGATGCCTGGCAGTGCCCAAGGCCAGGCTGGAATTTGCTCCTGTTCCCTCTTCCCTGTTCTCTGTTCCCAGTTCCCCATTCCCCGCTCAACATTCCCCATTCCCAGCTCCCAATTCCCTGTTCCCCATTCCCTGTTCCCTGTGGCTCCGGGACGCAGGAGGCGGCTCCAGGCCCGGCCTCAGGCAGGAATTTGTGGTTTCGGAGCTCAGTGAGTCACTGGGGCCGGGCACACCCAGCCCTGCTTCCTCCTCCTCCTCCTCCTCGGGCTCTTCCCAGCTGGGAATGGGAATGAGATTGGGATAGGGATGGGGACATGGTGGGGCTGTGACCTGTCAGGCTTCACTCAGGTGGCTGCAACAGCTTCTTCTTCCTCCTCCTCCTCAATCTTCTTTACCTCCTCCTCTTCCTCCTCCTCCTCTTCTTCCTACTCCTCCTTAATTTCCTCCTCCTCTTCTTCCTCCTCCTCCTCCTCTCGGGGCTGTCCCGGCCCTGCAGCCGCAGCTCCAGCCCGGGAGCTCCCGGTTATCCCGGGCTCCCCTTGGGAATGTCCCCTCCTGGCTCCAATGTCCCCACCTGGCACCACCGCCACCCTCCCTGCCGCCAGGAGCCCTGTCCTTGTCACCGTCCCCTGCCCATGGCACAACTTTCCTTTCCTTTCCTTTCCTTT